GGCACCAAGTCTTTTCAAAGAGATGGTAATAGAATAAAATGTAAATTTATCTTAAATAACTAAAAAGCTGGTATAAAAATCAACATTTGAGATTCTCTGAATATTTATAATATTTCCTATACAAATCGGTTAGCTTTACAAATAAGTGAGACTCCAACCAAATTAAAATTCAAATATGACTAAAATTTACCCATGTCATCCAAGGAAAATCAATAAACTTCAAATTCCTGAAGCTGGTACTTTATCTGTGAAGCAGTGCTGCATCATAGCTAGACAGATCACATTTCAGGCTAATACCCACCCTAGCTACTTTCTAGCTGTCTGATCCTGGCTAAATAAACTCTCAGCTTCATTTATTTGTTGTTGTTTTTTTTTACTATTATTATATTGAGATGGCATCTCACTGTGTTACCCAGGCTGGTATCAAATTCCCGAGCTCAAGTGATCCTCCCGCCTCAGCCTCCCAAAGTGCTGGGATTACAGATGTTAGCCACCACACCAGGCCAGCTTCACTTTTCTTAAATGGAGATAATAGCTCTTCCATCGAGTCATAGAAAGATTAACTCAAGTCATTTGGGACTCAGCTCGTCTCGTGCCTAACAGATATGAAAGTGATGTATCACGTTTCCACGGGATCTCCCTGTTCTCACCCTCATGCACTCTACAGCTCTGGCCAAAGCCCCTCCCAGGTCATGAGTGTTTTTCTCTTAGACCTCAATCAGGGTTTCTCTTTCACCCTTTCAAGGCAAAGGGTAAATCATCTTCCACCTACAGTAGCCATCTTACCACCACACACCCATTCAAATTCTTCACTTTCTTTCAAGGCCCAGGAGAAACTTAAATCTTCTCAAGCCCAACACAAACACTACCTCCTCCATGAAGCCTCCTGATTCCTTCAGATCAATGTTTCTCAGCCCTGGCTATACCCAATCATGGAGGGAACTTAAAAAACAATTAAACAAAAATCTCTGAAGCCTGGGCCTCAGCCCTGCTGTTGGTCTGAGGTGTGGCCCAAGCATAAGAGATGGAAGTGACTTCTTACACTGAGACCCAACGATGCTTCACCAGCCCTTTCCTTGAAGCACTTTGTATAGGTTGGTGCAAAAGTAACTGCGGTTTTGATCATTACTTTTAATGATCAAAACCACAGTTACTTTTGCACCAACCTAATATCTCCTACTCCTTATTTTAATTATATACAAATGTATTTAAAGTATAAACTTCTGGAAAATGGGATCCATGTTTGATTTATATATCGTCCTCAAGTTATCATCACGAGGACAGTAACTTGAACTTCCAGGCTGCTGGGTATCTCTTGAATGCACAAATAAAATTTCAGTGCCTCTGAAAAATAGGATTCAAATTCATGATTTGAAACAAAAGGCTATCCATACCTGAATAAATAATCTCCATTTCAACAGCTCAGCTGTTAAGCTCTACTTATATGACTCAGCCAATGCATAAGGGAAGAAATGATTTATTCCAGAAATAGGGAAAACATCACTAAAATAAACTTAGTGCAGGGCTAACCACTTCTGTGGTCCCTCCCTTCCCACCTCCTACCATCCTAAAACACTTAAGAGTTCTCTAAATAGATCAAGCACCCTTCTGCCTCCATGCTTGGAATATACAATACAATCTTTAACCACATTCCTCATCTGGCTCTTACTATTCATTCTAGAAACACCTATGATGGAAAGCCTTCCCTTAGGCAAAAGTCCTGGTTCAATATTCCTCTTCCGTATTCCTTTAGTACTTGCTAAATTATTGCTCTTATCACAGCAACTGTCAAAAAGAAATTATTGGCCAAGTGCCACGGCTCACACCTATAAGCTGAGCTCTTTGGGAGGCCAAGGCAGAAGATGCACTGACGAGTTTGAGACCACACTGGACATCATAGTGAAATCTCATCTCTACAAAAAAAAATGTTTTTTAATTTGCCAGACATGGTAGCATGAGCCTATAGACCTAGCTACTTGGGAGGCTGAGGCAGGAAAATCACTTCAGGAGTTTGAAGTTAACATGAGCTATGATCACACCACTCACTGCACTCTAGCTTAGGAAGCAGAGCAAGAACCTGTCTCTATAAATTATTGTTTGGTTTATCTATTATTTATTATTATTTATAAATTAATTTATAAATTATTGTTTGTAAGAAACCTACAGGTTTCTTAGGGGTGGGGAGTCTCTCATCACTGTAATTATGTCATCTTATACAACATATGGTACTTATGGACTGGGCACCGTGGCTCACACCTGTAATCCCCTCACTTTTGGAGGCCAAAGCAGGTGGATCCCCTGAGATCAGAAGTTCGAGTCCAGCCTGGCCAACGTGGTGAAACCCCATCTCTACTAAAAATACAAAAAATCAGCCAGGCATGGTGGTGTACACCTGTGATCCCAGC